CTCTCTCTCTCTCTCTCTCTCTCTCTCTCTCTCTCTCTCTCTCTCTCTCTCTCTCTCTCTCTCTCTCTCTCTCTCTCTCTCTCTCCCCCCTCTATTTCTTCCCCCCCTTCCCCCTCACTGTCTTACCTCCCGCCTGAACTCTGTCTTCCTTAATCGTGTGGATAAGGCTGAATCTGTCAACATCCCACCCAGATAAAGAGCAACGTTACCCAGTCGGTGCAGATTGTGTCCGTACATGATGAGGACCAAGCATGCTTCACGACGCACTACCGGCAACTTACCCAGAATACTGTAACATCTTCTGGACGACTTGAGTGAACCTGACAGCGGTTTCTGGTCACATACAATTATCATAACTCATAATCCCGTGGTATTACATTCAGCAAAAGCTGGTGAATTAACAATTATTGAACATTGTATATATGTTCAGAGTATCTGTGGCATTCTTGTCTCTGCTTAGCGCTGCTTAGCACATCACTGATCTTGTCTCTGCTGAGCACTCTGCTTGATACGATGCAGTGCGCACATGATTATATCCTCTTTTTTTTTTTTTTTTTTTTTTTTTTTTTTGAAAAAACTGCTCCGATCTCTCTTCGTGGGGAGCAACAACAACACGTGCTGGGAAGTTGTCGGAACCGGGGCCAGCGCCCCTCATGAAAATAGTAAAATAGTAAAATAGTAAAATACAGAGAATAACTTGAAAGTACGGGCTGAGAGCAGTTTGGAGAGAATTCCGAAAAAAGTTAAAAAATGCACAGGACTATATCTATATCTACTACCGGCTTTGCCTTGTGTTTATTGCTTAGCACTGCCCTCACATACTTTGTCTATACTTAGCGCTGAACCTTAAACCACAAGTACGCGGTCCCAGCCTTGTGGGAAAATGTTCTTGCCCACTCCGGAAATTTTGCGGCTCGGGCCTACTACCGGACCTGACCACAATGGCTGGCGGCGCCTGCCCTAAAAAAGAAAAAAAGTGCGCCGCAAAAGCTTGGCATGCAGCGCAACGCCTCCAGGCCCGGGTGTACTGGTGGTTTAAGTTTGTTTAGAAAAAAAAAAAGAAGAAAAGAATAATAAAAAATTAGAAGAGAGAGAATAAAAAAATAAAATCAGTCATGAGTCGTAATTAATCCCCAGGTGTTGTACTGTTTGCAAAAGATGGGATAGCCCTGAGTATATGGGCACTGAACGCATCTACGGAAGACGACCGGTAAGAGGACAAAGCATGGTGTTTAAACCACTAGTGCTTCCTAAAGTCGCGCCTGTAAACAAGCCGTGACTTCAGGAAACGTACGGGCCACTACAGGAGCGCCCAAATTCATCCGGCTAGAAATGTTTATTTCTACTCTATTTTTTTTTCCCCGACCGATAGCTGGGCCAAGTACTGGTGGTTTAACTGTGACAGAAACAAACGGTAAGAACTTACTGAGAAGTCTGGGAGGGTAACACACTGGACTTCGTGGTAAGCAGGGCGGTCATAAAATGGTGGCAACCACTAGTACCTTTGTCGGTTCGAAAACACTCGGCCGCCGACCTTTCAGGAGGCCGAAACAAAACGACGGCCGGCGATCAGATTGATCAACGTTGGGCTCGGCGCCTCCTGAAAGTTCTGGAGCTGGCAAGTACTTGTCGAAACCGGACGCCAAAGGTACTAGTGCTTTAAGGCCCTTGTTTGAACCACCACTACCTCCGAGCGTCTTTTGGCTGAGGCCCCGAAATGAACTGCGTTGCAAGCTTTGCCGAAGCCCCAGCGCGACCTTCTTATCTTTTGGCTGGCACCACCAGTCCTTTCGGTCCGGTGGCGCCCCGCCTCCGAAGAATGCAGTGTAGTAGTACTATATACGTTAGATTTGCGTTTTGCGTTTGCCTGTGAAAGGTCGTGGTGGTTTAAGGCTGTGTACAAATACTAAGTAAAAAACCCTACCTATATCTCTCTGTGTCAACAGGGCAGCGCCCTGCTGGTATTTCAATGCTTGTCTGCTGCTGGATTCTGCAGGGTCGAAAGTAAGGACATAAAATCGTTGGTTGATTTGATTGATGGGTATGGAAACGATCCCAGTCTTTTGACGGATTCCCTGTGGCGGTAAAAATATATATGTCTGTGTATCTAATTGATAAACGCAGGACACACAGAGTCTTGACTATATGATGACTGAGCATTTGAGGATGAGTGGAGTCTACTGGGGATTGACAACAATGAACATTCTTGGAAGCTTGGGTGAAATGGACGAGAAAAAGGTCATCGACTGGGTTCTCAAGTGCCAGCATCCGTGCGGTACGTATGACTGCATCCGTGCGGTAAGTATGACTGCCAGCCAGCCAGAGAGACAGACAGACAGACAGACAGATAGAAGATAGTCATTGACTCTCTGTTTTGGTTGCTGGTTTGGGTTGTTTTTCTAACGTGTTCGATGTTCGACTTCTTTTGCTTTTGCTTTTTCGTTCTGGATAAGGACAAGACAAATCGGATCTGGGAAAATGGCCCCGCTGCAGAAAGAAAAAAGAAAAAAAAAAAGAAAAAAGAAAAAAGAAAAAAGAAAAAGAAAAAAGAAAAGAAAAAGAAAAAGAAAAAGGAAAAAAGAAAAAAGAAAAGGAAAAAAGGAAAAA